CTTCCAGTGTGTTGGTTCTTTACCTGCTGGGGTGGGCACAGTCAAACTGGAGCTGCCAGCCGCAAAGCTAGGCTGGAATCATGGTACCTTTGCAATCTTCAGGTTATCCGCCGCATCAGCTCAAAATGCTAATTTGTGAGGCCAAGCCAGCAAGAAGGTCGGCAAGTTGATGGAGCAAAGTGTGGTGTCCTGCCTGGGGGGACAAAGGCTCACACAAGGATCCTGTGCAGGAGGGCAAATGCTTGCACCAGACCATTCATCTTTATTGTGGACGAGGGGCAAACATCATGTGTGGCCTAAAGCTGCGGGCCAAAATTCAAGATGCCTGGTGCGGCATGCGCTTGTGCCTCACAGAGTTGGCAGCTCCAATTCTCGACATGGTTCCTAATAAGCGCCTCACGTGAGGGCTTGGTGGCGCACACGCTTGGGCCACGGGATGGTGAAGTTGAGACGCAAAGCTGCCAGTTGCAATTGCCCTCGAAGGTGGGGGGTATCGTCGCGATGATTTGCGATGCACGTGTTTGTGTCATTTTCCGCAGTTGCCGCTGGCCCTCCGGGCCGGCGCGTCTCCTAAAGTGCATCCCACCTCCGTTGTGTGGGCTCCGTACCTGCAGGGGTGGGCCGGAGCAAGGCTAGGCCGGAATCATGGCACGTTTGCAATCTTCAATGACACCAACAAGTTTGAGCAGAAGGGTACAGCCGACATGATCGTACTGTGGCGAGTGAGAGCTTGCTGGGCCGCAGGCCTGGTATTGGGGGCGAAATGACAACAAATGCTCGGCAAAACGTTTGACAATGGCAAACTGGATGCGATTTCTAACAATTAGCAAGTCGTGCCAACATTAAAACAGAATATTTGGGGAGTGGACAGGTAATGTATTGAGTGAGTCTGTAAGTGAGTGAGTATGTAAGGACACCACCCCTCACATGCAAAATTGATGGCAGCTTCCTATGGCAAAAGTCCACAGCGTTCCAATTGTCGGAGGTTGTTGACTGCCCGCCGTTGTAGGATGAAGGATGTTTCGAGTGGGAACATGTCAGAGATTGTCGGAGCAAGACTCTGCTTCCTCTTGAACAGCTCGTCCGCTAGTACATCCAACCGCGAAGCTCCATCCCAAAAATTCAATGATGTGACTGTGCACCTGAACTATCAAACCAACCAAGGACCAATGTTTCTTGTCAAGCATGCAATTTTACAATGGCGCCCGTTATTTTGGATGCTGACATGCATGCATCACAGCGCTGGGGCTTGCAGATGATGTGGGGTCTGGGAGTTTGCACGCGTTGAGCTGCGCAGCACAAGCCGAAGTGATCATTTTGCGATGCTGATGACAAATCTTGGTTATGCTGGTTGGCCATCATCGAGCGAGCGTTTGAGAGCGTTAAGAATTCCACCAGGTTGACCAAAGCAGTGGCACGAGCACAATTCGTGGAGATTTGGGAGCTATGTTGTTTTGGTGCCTAATTCCCATTTGTTTATATTCAACTCTGTTCACAAGTTTCCTTTAGATTGCAGCCGGATACTCCCCGCTCGCAGGCACTCGATCAGTAGATTCTCCACCTGTGTCCAGATCCGTTGAAGCTTTAAGAATGAAGGGGAAGAGACGGAAAGAGAGCTGCCCCACCTTCGGCCTTGGAAGAAGAACATGAAGAGCTGTCCAAAAGACCACTGGATTTTGATGTTTCACGCGAATTTGATTGAGATGTGGTAGGATATGGTCCTGTGCGGTCGTTGGCATGCTGAAGCCTTGCACTTTGATGCACTGTCATACCTTAAGGATTGGCTGCATTCTGAAAGGGCCAATCGACATCTCTGCCACCACCGGGCCGGTAGAGCTCCGAGGCAGTTTGCACTCTAAGTAAGATTTCAATGTCTAGGTTTGGTAGTCAACACTGGCAAGATGTACAGTTTTTGAAGCTTGCTCCCGCTACCATGTGGCAAGCAGTACTTCCACATCTCGGGCCTGCAAGACGCAGTGTAAATTCGTCAGGCCGGCGTTTCTCATCAGCATCTTGGTTTCAGAAGTCTTTCCGTGGAAGGTGCTGAAGCTAATAATCTAATTTAAGCTGCTGCTGCGCGCAGCAAGTGATGAGGGATCAAATCCATGTTCATTGGCCGGCATCTTTGTAACTGAATAGGGCTTCAGACAGACCTTAAATCAAAAGCAGGTTGTTGCTTCAGTCTGTTCTTCGTAATGAAATCGTGCCTTGTGATCCTGCAGCTGGAATTTGAGTTGCGAACGTCCCAGGAAAAATGCGAAACCGGTTTTGCCACGGATTATGTGGAGAAACAGGTTTCCCGAATTGCACAGTTTGAAACGCATTTGCTAAAAGGCTATCATATCTGTTTCGCGTTGCATTAGAAGCAGCCAACGTCATGTAACGTCATGCCACAGTATGAAGTTGCATTGCAAGCTCTTACGATATGAGTTTGGAAGCTAATTTCCCTTTGGAGTATGCAACTCGCAGCAATTTGCCAAAACGACATTGTCTCTATGCTGCACACAAGCCACGCTCGCAGTGCTATGGCCAGCTTGAGGGCTTTGATTTTGGGTTTAGAGTTTACACAGCCAGAAACACCGTAAAGAAGTGCGCACAGCTTTGGAGGTCTCAGACTTAAGCGCCGCTTTATTCGTGAGTTTTTCCAAGCACGGTAAGCTGACACGACCCACCGGGCCAACAAGAGGAGGTGAAAATTGTCCGGCCCATTTCCAACCCAAGGCAACTTTTGGGGGTGAGGGGAGGACACGCAAGCAGCATAAACACAACCCTGCAAGGAGATGGGGATGACAGGTCAAGTTTGAGAAATCATTGCGAGCTCGCACACGGGCAACCGTCAGCTGACAGAAGGAGTGTCTTGGCAACGCTCAAGCCACGAATGATTTCAGCAAGCTGCTACGCTAATGACTTTCCTGCAGCAGAGGCCAATCAGGCCTTGCGCAAGCTATTCCAGCTCTACGCCAATGTGCGGCCAGCAAAGTATCTCGAAGGAGCCATCATTGCAAATATGGGTTCTGATCAGGTGGAGCATGACGCTAGCGCACATGTTGGAATAAGCTTGCTGTTGACAGGAGTTTGCTCCAAGTTCCCGGGAGCAGACATCGTAGTGGTGCGCAACCTGGATGCATTTGGAGTTCGGACTCGGCTACAGTAGAGCATTTCGTCGCACCGACACTATTGCACCACTTTGAGAATTCAGCTGGAGCTTGTTCGCATGCGCATCACTTGAAACAAGCTTCAAAAAGCAAGCAAAAGCATTAAAGAGCAAATTTCGAAAGTCATGCTGTGGCATAACAAACTTGCTGCTAGGTGTTTGTCTTGGGAGGCTGGCGTTGTGCTGTTTATATGTCTCTTCTGGACTGTAGGATTCAATGAATGAATTTTGCATCGCTCTTCACAGTACTTTCATGCAATTTCAAGCCTTTCCCGACACCATGGCACTATAACTTACAGCACTTGTGTTGATCTAAGGCTAAAGCTATGGGCCTTCATCGTGGGGTCCCTTTGGACCTAGATCCCTTTTAGAAGGGCCAAGCGCCCGTATTAAGGCCCATACTCAGAAATAGAATGGAGCCCAACATAATCAAGCATGACTTTCCAGCCTGTAAAATCAATGTTGCACCGCGGCCCATCATCTCAGAGTTACCTGACAACTTCCGTTCTCAGAGTTTCAGGGGCCACGGCACATCCTGTTCGAAGGACCCATTCCCCAGCCATAAAACCCAAGGCGTTCGGGCTTAGCGTGAGCCAGGTTCTCATAATGGGCTATCCAGGATCTGACAGGGCTTTGGTTTGCGAGATTCAGGGTTGAGGGTGTGAGGATTTTGTGTGTAGAAGGGCGTGGTGGGACGTTTTATGCCATTTCAAAGTAGGTGAGGGTCCAGAGAGGGATTTTCCACAAATTCGAGTGGCTTGGGTTTGAGGTGCAGGGTTACACGTCTCAACTTCTATGACTTTGAGAATGTCAGCGAGGCTGCAGACTGGGGCCTCTTAGTTCGAGCTCAGAAGAGCCACTAAGCTCGGTTTGCTCTTTGTGTTGATGCAAGTTTACAGAGCTAGCATCATGGGTCTAGCCTGTCCATTCAGCTTGTACCTCGTGAACTGGGCACCCAAGCAGAAGCCTGCTGCAACATGGTTTCTAGACAATTTGTTCATGGGCTTAACGGTCAAAAGCCTTACGCTTTGGAAGCTTTTGTCTGGTCGTTGGGCCTTAGGTTTGGTTCAGGGGTCTCCCAAATGGGAAGGTGGCCCACCAGTATTGCAAGAACAAACGCGATTAAGAAATCCCAAATAATTAAGAAGCAGAAGCAGCACCTGCTGCAGCACTGCTTATTCATGTTGGGAGTTCGAAGGCCACAGATTTTGGGGGTGGACCGGTGCAAGGCGGTGAACTCCAAAATCAATGTTTCGGGTTTAGGGAGCTCAGTTTGGTTTGTCAGTGAGATCTAGGCATTCGTCCTGAGTCCGAATACCAGAGCTGCACACGGCATGCAGCAGGTGAGAACACTGAAGGAATGTACACCGGAGAGGAGGCAAGCCGCACGCTGGAGAGCAAAAGCGATTTGGTTAGCATGAAGTTCTTATTTGTCTGGAATGCGGCATGCAGGATGGGTGATGGGATTCAAGATGCCTCGGGCATCTTTTGTATGTTCAAGAACCCACTGGACCTGAAACTCAAATTATGCTGCAGGTGAATTTAGTGCAAGCTTTGTACTTGGTGCCAGGCAACGACTCAGTAAGGTAAAGGATAGCATGGGGTGCCATTGGGACTTTCAAATCCCCATGCAACAGGCATGGGAAAGTGTGGACAGCGTCGTGGCAACACGTCGAATCACCCGACAGGCAGGCCATGGGCATCTGTGCTGAAGCTGAATGACATCAGAGAAGTCAGAGCCGCCCAACGGCTAGGAGGGTTTCTTGGATTTTGTCAACAGGCCTTCCCTCAATCATGAATTCAGAACAAGACTGTCATCCTCAACTTCGGTCTGAAACCGTGTTGGATGGGCACAAAGGCTTACTGGGTTCCGGAGCGTGCGCCTTCATCTTGTGCCCGATTGGGCCACCACAGAATAGAAGTCGGGAGCTTTGATCATGGGCTGATTGTGCAACTGGTTCACTCAAGCGGCAAACACCCAGCTTCTGATGCGGTAAGAGGAAGCGCATGTAGGAAAACGTAAGCCCAGGATGCCCTGAAACCTTAGATCCGTGGAGAAGCCCGAGATAGAGGTTGCATATGCAAGAGTTGTTACACCCATAATGTGCCAACGCGGACAACTCGTGCAAAAGATGGCAGGGTGCTTCACGAGTTGCGACCTTCGCTTTCGAGTATGCTCAAGCTCATGGTCGGCGACAGGTCACTGCAGCACACAAGGCAAATGTGCTGAGACTGTCCGATACCCTGTTTCTGGATTGTTGCCGGGACGCGGCAGCCAAGTATCCAAACATCACGTACACAGAGCAGCTTTGCGACTCACTGTTAACTAGCATGGTAATGGAGCCACGCCGCTGGGATGTCATTGTGTGCGAGAACCTCTACGGCGATCTTGTGTCAGACTTGGCTGCCGGCCTGGTGGGAGGGCTGGGTTTGGCACCGTCGGCTCTGTACGGAGATGCAGGCGTGGCAGTATTTGAGCCTGCACACGGCAGTGCGCCAGATATCGCTGGCCAAGACCGCGTCAATCCCACGTCCATGCTGCTCTCAGCCTCACGAATGCTTGAGTACCTTGGAAAACCTGGCGCGAGTCATGCTCTTGAGGCAGCCCTTGCTGCCGTAATAAGGGAGGGCGAAGACACAACACCTGATTTGGGCGGAGCAGCAGGAACACAGCGCATGGCCACAGCGGTCGCAGACAAGCTCCGCTCTTGAAGTGCAGGTTCAGGGCGCAAGTTCTGAAAGCGGCATCAACATTCTCGCAAGCCTGGTCAAGAGTGACACTTTCCGCATAGCCGTAAAAGGCCGAAGGGTCGCATCGGTGTCTCAGAATTGAGATGGCCTCCCACGCTTGCCCATGTAACCAATGCAGTCTGAGGCCAGGAGACAGCCTGTCCGAGGTGCGCTATCCAGTGCTCCCGCCGCAAATTGGCACATTCTTGTCCACGAAGCCTGCAGTTGCAGCTTGGAAGCCGCAACGCCTAGGCAGGCGTGTACTTGAATGCCAGCTCGCTCTACGCTGCAGCCTCAGCGAAATTCTGCCAATTTGTTGTAAATTACCGGCACACATCCACTGTAGACTGTAGCGTAGGCTTGGCATGTTAGTGCTTGTCATCAAGCCACGAGGTGGTGGACTACGGAAACAGCCGTGTTCTGCAGGCTTCCCATACGTCTTGTGAAAGATCGCAAATGGGTTTGAAAGACTTGCAGCATGTGGTTGGTCGAGTGCCTTTTCAACCTTCACAGTTCCGAGCCTGCACTTCAAAGTAGGCCGCAGCTGACCAAGTAAGCATGACGAAAGACAGGGTGTACAAACGAGCAAAGATGTTGCATGCTGCTGAGTGCCTACTTGGAGGTGGCCATGGGTTCCCCGACGGGACAGCGAGTTCCAGAAGGGGAGGCATGGCCGGGCATGTCCGGTGGACTGTGAGGTTTTGTTTGGCAATGAACTGGATAGTGATGTTGTTGATAGCGGAAGGTCCTTGAGTTGCCAATCCTACCAACCACTGCGGCAGACAGCTTCTTTGCTCGGACCTGAGACATGTCCAAACTTACTTCTCATGGTTGGCGACGTTGTGCCGCAGCGATTGGGTCATGCGCCTGCTGCAAGCATGACGAGGCAGAACTGGCTTACAGGTCTGGTTTCTAGGCTGCAAACATTCGGCATAGCCATGTGAGGATAGCTTTGGGAATTTCTACCGCGTGGACTATGGCAACCATCGCTTGACAGTCTGCCTTCGGCGGCTCACGCCACTTCCTGAGATGGGCATGCCACCCTCTCCAGCTTTGCAAGTCAGCAGGTATTTTTGACGCAGTTTCGTCCATCCACTCAGAATGTAGTGTGATGGCCACCGTGGACTGGCATCCATTTATTGTGTACCTCAAGCGATCAGCTTTAGGCAAAAGTTTTGATGCAAGCGCCGTGGACACTGCTTCAAAGGGAGAGTTGCTGAACCTTCTAAAGGAATTGCCAGGCATGGGGTTGCACATAGTTCCACGGCCGGGTAGCATGCGTTCCTGTGCTACAGCAGTATAGCACATGCGTCAAGGCGAGGCTAATTTTGGCGGTGGCCAACCATCACAGGAACAGATTGTTCCTTTGACCTTCTTAGACCATGTTGAGGAAGGAGTTGGCAGAGCCCTCAACGTGCAACTTACAGAGACTTCGCTGCTGAGATGTGTCTTCACAGCGTGCAGAGACGCAGTTCCTGCCAGGACCTCAACATTTGAAATAAGGGGCCGCTTCTTCAAACAATGTTTACACTGAAATGGGAGCGGATTTTGCAAGAAAGTGAGGCAGCCTTGCGTGGCCCAAGCTGCGGATGCACAGAGGCAGCGGAGCGAGCACAGCAGCATAAATTTGGCAGCATCTGCTTTCTGAGGACCGTTCCGATTGCCGAGAGGACTGGATCCATGCATTGGTCATTGGTCAGTGTCGCTATCATCTGATGCCAATCCAGCTTCAGAGCCGTGTGGCAGAGGTAAAGCGCCACTTCTAAGGTTTCAAGCTGTCATGCCATTCGTAGTGACGTACGCAGAAGGGATTTAGGAGCTGTGAATTTGAGCATCGCTGCAGCCTTGGCTTTCGAGGCTTCGGGTGCTCTCGAGTGAGTCATGATCTTATGTGGAACGCAACAAGCCCGGATGGCGGACTATGCTAACACAGCAAAGTCCCCTCCCTCCAGGAGCGGAGCTGAAAGGCAATCTATGAGGGCCGCTGTTTTGATTGAGTCCCGAGTCCCACGATCTCAATGCACATGCTAGGCACGGATGGCATTCGCAATTTTAAGCATATTTTGACAAATTTGCTGCAATCCTTTCAGCTCTCTTGTGGCCATTTGATGTGGCACATTTGGCCCAGCCAGTGTACATAGAGTCGTTCCACGACAAGACAGTCCTGCGGGATGGGTAGCTGGCGAGAGATTGCGCCAAGGCATTGACAAGAGCAAGGAACCCAGGATTTGTGTTGCCCAAGTGTGTAGTCTGAGGCATGACAAGCAGTTGCAGTCTATTAGCACTTTGGGCGGGGTCCTGGGTGTGGCTGGGTATGCAAGCTGACATGAAAGTCATATTCCCCCTCCGGTCGTCGGCACAAGAAGCATACAGTACCAGAGAAAATCTTGAATTTTCTTAGCAACCTCCTCTTTGCCACATTTTTTTGCTCAATAGCTGCGACCGTGTCGAAGCAGCGTCGGGTCACGCAACCAGCTGTAAATCCGATAGACAGCTTTTGGCGGGTGTCCATCGGTGTTGGCAGTAGTCTAGGACTCAATCTCCTAGAAGCTGTCATCTCGGCATGATCCAGAGCCATGTTTTGGTGCTGCGTCGAGAGTTCTTCAAGCCCCAAGGCAATCGCTCGATCTAGCCAACATTCAGACGCCGATGACAACTCACACGTTTCTTTCATACACGTTCCAGGTTGCGGATCCAGAGGTGCTGCATCTTTTGGGAGTCAAGCATACCAATCCATCGACTTGCTCGGGTGGTTTGGACAGAGTCAGTAGTAGGCATTGCTTGACTTGTAGGTGTTGGCCATGGTGGAGAAGTGCTGTAGAGCAAACTGAGGGAAATTGCAGCAGCACCAAGCTGAAAGAAGTTTACCTGTTTACTGTGAGTCTGAGGGAACCTGGAGGAGGCATTCACGCTTATGCTTCTAAAGTCGTCTCATAAAAGTCTGTGCCCTATCATAGGCTCCTGACTGTGGTCAGGATGTGAACTTTGACAGCTCAGCAGTGAGCGAGGCAGGGACTCCACGCTAGATTTAAAGTAAGCGGACTTTTGGCCTTGTGCTTTTTGTTCCTCATGCGCCTCATGCGGCTGCAGGAGCGGGATGTTGCAGTGTCGGAGGACAGCGGAGTTGGATCCTTCATTGTGCAATGGACACAGAACATGCTTAGTTGTCGTTTGGCGCCAACACCTGAGCAGCAGGACATCCCGTCCCGCCACGAAAGCCAGCTTTCAGTGACCGCCATACCGGTTCTAAGCGATGAGGCGCATCGTGTTCGTAGATTTATTGCTTGATGGTGCTGCGTTGATCGGCAATACAGACACAAGACGAATCTGAAGCTACAGAAGATGAAAATGCGGGCCCTCACCATGTCCCGCAGGCTGACATGTCTCGGAAATATAATTGCCGCAATGGTCGATGGTGCCTGCCAACTGTACACCTAGATATACCTGGAGATGCTGCCAGGAATCCAGACGCATCCAGCAGGCGCGAATGGCCGCAGTGAGCGACAACACAGAGGCGGCAACCTGATTGTGAGATTTACGCTGTTTTTCCACAGCCGCATGCTGCCAGGATGCGCATGTGGAAGCTCCGGAGGTGGTTGACATCCCCATGAATCCAAAGGACCGGCGGCTGAGCCTAAGACTTTATCAAACTCAAAATTCAGAAGCACTATACAACCAAAACAGATTCTGCTTGTCAGCGAGAATGCTTGCCCCGAGAATCTCACCCGACTTGTTCATCCTGGATTTGCATGAGACCAAAGTCTCACCTTGTCGCGACGTTCGAGATTGACTCGACACCAACGTTGCATCTGCAGGCAAACCGCACTTGCGATCCCAGCATTATCCCAGCCACTGCCAACTGCGCGCCGACCCCCACGACCATTCTTGCCCTTGGGAGTTGCGCATCTGTGTTGGATACCAAGACTTGCCAGCAGCTCAATGCAGATGGCACATACTCGTCTGAGCCATGAAGAGCAAAAGTGAAAGCACTGTCGATCATACTTCTTCGACCTCCGACTCTTGCAGCCGTACACGGCGCTGAACTGTTGAGATCTTCATTGCGACATGCCGTAACATGCCCTTCAGTGAGCCTACATGCTTTGTAGTAAGCCTAGATTTTTGTCATGCTAACGCATTGCCAGTTTCCGAGTTGTCCCAACTGAAGTCGAATGTCATGGCAGATTCATGGCAGATTCAAATGATCATGGTCACTTTGTCTTCCCGATTGTGAGTACCGATTCCGGGCGCCTCAGAGGCAGCGTTTTGGATAGCATGTAACAGTTGGCGATAAACCTCCGACATGTAATTGGTGACAGCATGCGCACCGTTGAGCAAGCTTCGGAATGTTAAGTGGCAGTCCTGCACAAATGGGTAAACCTGGGCCACAAGCGTGTATTGCCCAGTACCGGGTCTTCGGAAAGGATGATGCGCAGTATGCAAACATGGGGTTTCCAAAGATTTTGGAGGATTCCGCAGACTCTGCCGTGAATGCGACTCTGTCCACAGCCGCCTCTTCAGATGAGAAAACTGCTGCAGAGCTGCATAAGGCCTCAGAGTCGGATGGGTCAGTCATAGTCACTCGGGGATCTCCTATCGAGATATAGTATGAGAGGCTTGGGCTGCAAGCTTCCAGCCGTTCAACTGTCGCCAGCCACAATCCCACAATTGCAGAGTCAAGCAAGAACATCTCTTGTTGCAGTGCAGGCCTACTCGACCTCGACTGCAGGTCGCCGAACAAGGTGAGCTGCGCATCATGGCGCAGCTTGTTTCTGGCAGTTCTTGTCAGGTAGGCTCTAGATTGACAAAAGTTCCAGTGAGCTCAGCTCGTGCGACGTTGTTGCACCATTGTTCTTGAGAAGCACGCTGCAGGCTGATTGGGTTGGCAGAAGACTCCCGCTGGAAGCTTCGCAGAGAGGAGCTCCAGATGCAGCGGGAGCTTCTTGGTGCCATGCAGCCATGAAACACATAAATGCTCGTGCTGGTGACTGATTGCATTGGCAATGCCACAGCATCTCTAGCGCGCGCTGTTTTGCTTGATCCCTCCAGACTGCTAGAATCCATCGCTAGTGCATGCTGGCGCTTAAGGCTCATGATGCTTTGGAGTCATGATTTGCAACCAAGCGAAAATCCCACGGAGCGCTTAAGGCTGAGCCGAACGCTCAAGAGCTCGCTCTACCTTGCGACATGGAAAGGCACCGACGTGGCTTGGACATGGTTATGATTGTGCCCCAAAGAGGATTGGCAAAGAGGTTGACCGCAGCTGGCCTGTACTCATTGCAGTTGACTTGCATTTCCCAAGGTGGTCATGAAGTGCGCCCTGCTCCCAGCCAATTCCTCCAACTAGCTGCTTGACCAGTTTGCACCCTTGTGCACAACAACGGCTTCCTCTTCACTTCAAATGTTGTAGCAGCGGCGCCTGCTTTGCAAGTTGCAAAAAAAGCCAACATGAGTGATTTGCAAGTTGTCGAGGTGGAGGTCCCCGAGACTTATGACAGGAGAGGGCCATCCTTGGCTTTGCTATGAGCTCTCAATCCTGAGCATCTGCACGCTTACCGGTACGTGAGTATCAAGTGACACGGCGGATGTGTTTGCAAGGACTGCTGAGAAGAGGAAGGCCTCAAATGCAGGGGTCTCAGCTCACCATGTTTTGTCCTTGTCTCCTCAGGTCTGTGATCTGGGCAGTTCAGACAGAGAACGTGTGATTGCTGAATGGAATTGAGAATTTCAGAATGGGTCACGCAAAGCTCGGAACCTGTTGTGCGAAGAATGCTCCTACCATCAGGAGGCCTTCGACCCTACGGCATCGCGACCGCTCCATGCCTCCGAGGTTAACCAGGAGCGGGGAAGTGGAGAGAGTTATTTGCTCGAAGCAAGGGCCCAACCTGAGTATTTCAGTTTAGGCTTTGTGCTTATGAGCAGTGATTTGTCATGAAGCTTGCCCTTGCGCCCATAGTACAGAGAGGCTTTTCCCTGAAAGCCTGCGGCCAGCTGAATCTGAATCCAACCCAGCATGCTTGCGGAGAGAAGATGCCAGGATCTTCTTGAAGAGTTGCTGCATGAGATCGAGCTGCTCTCTTCTTTGCGGCACCCAGACTTGGTGCTGCTGCCCAGCAGCATATCTTCCAGAGGGCCGGCATTTCAAGTCAGCATGCGCCCCACCTGTCAGGTTCATTGGAGCGTGCCTTGACAAGGACTCCAAGTCTCAGGGTAGCAGCACCATGAGAAGAGATCGGGTTCTGCATATCTGGCTTGCGGTGCCACACCTCACAAAGACTACGAAAAAGCCTTGATTCACCTTACTTGATTCTGCGCACTGTCTTTCGCCAGCAGACCGCGGCTGTGCCTTTTGTGTTGTCAGTAGCCCGCTGCGAATAAGCTTGCATTACTTTACCCCGTCTTTTAGATTTGGAGTATTCTACACAAGGTCAAGCAGTTCTTGGCCGGATGCAGCCTAGACATCTCCATCATGGATAGTAAACAAATCATGCAACCACGGGGTTGTGAAGGACTCTCCTGTGATGTGCGTCACGGAGTACATGCCCGGCGGGGACTTGGAGCGCCATTTCATGGCAACGTGTCTGCAGCGGACGTCTTTTCCGCAAGCACAGTGACACAAGATCAATCGAGAGTAGATCGGGCCTCAGATGCAGCTATCGATGCATTTCTATGCTCGATAGGGACGACTGGCTACTTCCGGCTCTCATGATTTTCCCAGATCCCAGGTTCCCAGCTTGAGCACCTGCCTGTTACCAATGCACATGCCTGGCCTGGGCCATTCAAGCGAGGATTGGGTCGGCTGGACCCATCACAATCTCAAAGCGTTTTCTGCAACATCTCAGTGCACCATATAAAAACCCGTATCTGGTGTACACTAAGTGGCTTGAAAACCTTACAAAAAACGAATTTCCTTTTTTCTCAATAGTTAAACTGCACAGCGCTATCAAAGCTGTGGCCAGATTGTCCTGGAATGTCTTGGGTTTCGAACTGTGAGTCTGAAACTCAACTTGTACTACAAATGCTAATTATTAATCCATGCCTGACACCCTTCAACGAGTCCTGACCAGTGCAATGCAAGACAACTTTCAGGAGTCTAGTCCCCTAGGAGGTGTATGTGCACAAGATAAGCATGCTTCGCGGGAGCAAAACGAGCCAGTGTTTGTCTTCCAAGGCCATGCGGCGGAAGCATCAAACCAACGTGTGGCGACCACCTTTCCCTCAGATCATGGAATGGTGTTTGGCGCCTCAGACGATTAGCAACGCGTTGACGTGTCTAATCACCAATGCTGGCCATTGATGTCGGAGCCGGGCACTGCTCCGTGCAGAGATAGATTCGCCCGGCCACGCACATGACTAACAGCCCCACAGAGCCGAGAATTGCCGCCAGGCAGTCGCACGGGGGCTCAGCTTCCTGCATAGCCGCCACCTGGCTTAGTCAGGATGATGGGTGAGTATTAGTGACTACTGCAGCGCGTGCCATGTCCTGCCGAGCTCCGTGGTGCTATCCGAAATAAGGCGAAGAGCCCATAATTCACCGCGACCTCAAGCCATTGAATTTGTTGCTGCAGCTCGGTACCATTAAAAAAGCCAATCCTTGTTTCCGTGGGTCCTGTGAATTAATCCTGCATAACTTTGCGCTTGTGCACAACGGCGACACACAAGTACCAGTATGGAGAGCATTTGCAAACTTCTTCGTAGAAAATGGGTCAGCTCCGGGATTTGGCTTGTGATACATGGTCGGGTAGGTGCAGCAATGAGAGACTAGTGCGGAGTCCTTCCTTGGAATTGAGGCCCTCAAGCTGCATCAGCATTTTGGAGGGTGAACCTCGGCCAAGGACAAAGCACGGCGAGATGAAGATTGCAGATCTGGGCATTTCGAAAATGATGAGCCCTTTCCAGCATCAGAGTAGCACATGTCTGTTCAAAGCTGCGCTGCAGCTTGCTGTAAGCCATCGTGCCGCTTCGAGCAGTAGTGCAACAAGTGAGCTGAACAGGAAGGTCCTCATAGGTCCTGGCTTAAAACTTGCTGCATATGCTGGCGCCTTCATTCATTCCTGACACTGAGGGCGGCTGTGGCCGGCGATGTGTACACAATGACTGGTGGAGTCGGAAGTTGGCTGTACATGGCACCGGAAGTTGTCAGGCGCTGCTGCTCCAGAGACATGTACGACCAGTTGATAAGACTGTCACGAACACCATCCTTTGAGAACAACTTCTGTCTGCTTGACCAGGCATCAGGCCTACAACGACACTCGGCCAGCCCAAGAGAAGGCATGTATTGTCATAGGCTCGCCGGAACCCTGCAGGGATGAATCTCAAGTTACGCTCTGCAAAAGAACTGCAAGATACAAGGGAGGCTCATCAATCGCGCTTGCTCCATGGAAACACAACAAAGCAGAATGATTTGGAGGTTGCTGTCCCGCGAGAGGGATTGTGCAGAGGGAAACGTCACCTCTTCCAAAGAGAAATTGCTCTGACGCGTTCACCTAACGCTTCCAGAATCAGGATGTGATGTGGATCAAAAATCTAATGAGGATTTTTGAAAAATTCAAATAGGGATCAATGAATAAGCCCACAGCAGCCCCAACAGCAAATGGCAACTTCAGGTTTTGGGGCAAGCACAGCACAGCACTGTTGTGGCGTAGATGTGCACGCAAGCCATCATGTAAATTGACACAGCGACTCAGGATGAAAGCCTTGTGTTTTCGGTGGCTCAAGCGCTGCTGCATGCCCCGTTCTTGTTGGTCTGAACGCGCAGGCTATCCGAACTTGCATTTGTGCATTGCAAATATGGTTTGGTCTTTGGGAACGTGTCCTGGAATAACAAATGATGGAGGGCCTTGTTCAAAGACTGTTTGAGGAACCAGGTTGCTTCCACAACCTCTGGAATGCTCCAGGGCCCGCTCCCCCTCCACAGCTTCTCCGGAATCTTCTCGGCACCTTGCTCCATTTCGCTGCGGGAGCTGTGGGCCAGCTAGAGTGAAACCGTTACTTCAACCGTTAAAGTAAAAAGGGCGATTTGCGTTTGTAGTAGTGTCAGCGTGATTATTCGATGGCCAACTCTGCGGGACGCTACAAGGTGCAGCTTCGACATCAAGCTCATTAGGAAACCGGCTCCTGATTGGCAACAGTGTCACAGAGTGCACCAATGACTTCATCGACTACTTCTTCCATGCCTTGCTCGATCAGCATGGCTCAGCATATTCTGCACCGTTTCGCCGACCCAGAGTCAGGCGGCATGGAAAGGAATTAGGGCACTGTGAAGCATTCACGTCGTAGCCACAAGCTGCCCGTGGTCAACCTTCAGAGGCCTTTCCTTTGCACTCATTCGGTTTACTTTGCCGACTCGGATTTGCTTGCCACTCAAACCTGTGAATCTGTGCAATGGTCGACCGACAACCATGAGCTCTCTCCTTCGTCAGACGTTTCAGACAAGGTCATGTTGATGTGGCCCTGTTTAAGTAAGGAGAAGGCGGACATCTACGCCTTTGCCTTGATCATGTTACGTGGATGAATTGGAGCAATCGTGAGGCTTCCAACATCTGAAGATCATATCGTGCAAAGCGTTCCCGCTATTTTCTCACCCGAGAGAACGAGGTATTTCATGAGCTCCGGGCGCCACCCTTTCCACGAGATTTCCAAAGATCCTGAACTCGCGTCTCGGAATTGATTGTGACCTGTCAAGCTGTTCATAGGATCATGCTTCCCCATCGTCAGATTGAGGTGCTGAGGGAGTATGCCAAAGGCAACGAACCAAGGCCTGTGCCATGCCGATAGCTGTGATCCTACTCTTTGGTCAAAACCGCCGGTTGCGTGGCGGCGCATGTCACGCCGCAGTGCTGCCAGCTATCATTCCTTAGTATCGACATTGTTTTGAGCCGCTGGTTAGTTTGACTCCAGTGCATCGTCAGCAGCCAGAGTAAGAATTTGCAGCAGCTTGACCACCGGAGTCCTTCAACTGCTGAAAGCTGCAACATGCAAGCAGGTCATAGGCCATTACTTGCCACTTTGAGGCTAGGTAGCTTGACCAGCGCTGGTGCATAGCCCCTGGGACAAGGCCCAATCCTGTTGAGTGCCACCTTCAACTGCGACAGCTCATGGCCGAGAGCTGGCACGTGCCTGGCCCAGAAGTCTTGGAAACATTTCGGATTGGAACAGAGGCTGTATATTGCCAGCAATACAACGGCAAAGTTTGAGCCAGTTTAAGCCAGCCCACGTTAGGCTATTAGGGTCGGAGTTTGAGATGATGCTGGGCACGCTATGCGAATGAAACCGCGCGCCCCGCACAGCAGCACTGGAACTTTCTCCCTGCAGTTTCGAGTTTTGACTTCAGCTTGCAAAGTATACAGGTTGACAAGATGTCGCGGCCATCTGCGCAGCGAATTGCAATTCAGCTGCGCGAGGCTGCTTGTTACCATGACCTGGCATTTGCTCGCTGTAGACAGCTGTAGCTTGCCAGGGTGAGCTGACCCTTGCAGCCTGTAGGAATGAACTTCTGACCTATGCACGATGCAGGCTGCCGACAACTACACACCACCTGGATGTCTATGCAAAAGATACTAGGCTGTCAGCCTGGCGTGTGGGACTGCTTGGAGGGCAGCCTTTCATGCCAGACAATGGTGGGAACACCAAACATGTAGAAAGCTTGAGCTGAAACTGGCTCTATAAGCCCAATCAGGAATTCCAGTTCAACATCACCACATAGTACCTGTTGTTGCTTTCCCTTGTTGTTGTGTGCTCGGCATTGCGGCTTGCAAAGCAAGGCGCGTGTGCATTCGCTGACTTTTCATATCAAGAGTACCAGCTATCCCATCACCCGAAGCTGTGCTACTACACCCCGTTATGCTTATGAAGCCAACATGTTCAGAAGTGTGTACCATCCTACTACCTTTTTAAAGTTGTGGTGGATACATAGCACTCCAGAACTGGGAGCATGCTTGTGTCAACCTGTCCATGCCTCAGTTCCTTGCTCTCACCGGCGCAGTGACCCAAGTTGATGCAACAGTGGAATTACCTCTGACGGATTCTTGCTGAAGAGTTCTCAACCTGGGCGGTCGGTCGGAAAAGTGCCGTTGCCAACGTCAACGGAAATAATCCGGGCCGAAGGGCTGGAGTCAAACCTTTATCTGCGGCCAGGTCAGCCTTTGTCACGCAGCATCCCAGAAGACGAGTACTTCAGTCGCCTAAAGTGCAAAACAAATTGGCCTCAGGGCAGCTGGCCTGCATCGTAGCAAGCATCATGGGCATGAGCTCCTCACACACGTGACGAGCCCAGCTAAGCCTATTAGTAGCATTGGCGCCGTGCTCCCAACGAGCGAGTGCTCAACTTCGCGCGATACGCAGACATACAAGTCCATCGGGTGGCAGGCAAATCCTGTAATCGGGGAGCCTGCGGAGTCTTGAGCCTGGTATGCCTTTTGTGGCAAAATCTCCAAAAGATTGGCGACGATGGCCCGAAGCCCACTGTGCATGAGTCATGCTGGAGGCTGATTCTGCATGCTGTCCTGGCAAATTAAGGGTAAGAACGGAGCAGGGAAGTCTGTCACAGCGCTACACCACGTGGAGTGTGCCATATATGTGGGAGATATGCCAGGACAGTTTTGGGTTGCTGGAGGTTGTCGTTAGCGAGCAGTGCTCAACATTCTTGGTTCCAAGAATGGCAGAAGAGGTTGGGGAAGTTTGAAACCAGGGGTATCCTATTCAGACCTCCCATTTCTGCGGCATACGGAAAAAAAAGATGCACTCCAACCAAGGCAAGTCAAGTGGAAGCTGAAGCCATCCCCGTTCCGATGCAGTACACCTTACCGCAGGGGCAGTGGCTCTATGCCTCGCAAAGGTTCATTGGGGAGCATCCAGACAGAGCGCTTTTGTGCATGGGTCTGGCTACCATGAGATTGCTTAAATGCTGCTTTCTTTCTTAAAACAGAAAGGGGGGAATCATATGGTCTTACGCGATAGCAATGCCAGAACACTGCGCCGTGAATTACAGGAATTCTCCAAATGCTGATAGAGGAAAGGGGAAGCGCCCATGCTGATCTGACAATGCAAACGGATTAAAGCTGCATTTCAGATGCAAGACGACTAGATTCGCGTTTTGGCCTGGGTTTGGCGGACGTCTCGGTGCATGTAGAGGGTTAGTTAAATTTGAATCAAAAATTGTTCAGGGATTCAGGAGTTGGACATGCGGTTACACTTTAACAAGAGGTGGGGATCAGGTTGCTTGGATTTAAAAGTCGCCTTTGTTTTTGTACCTTCTGGTCAATATGTTCCATTTCAAATCTTGCCAAGATTGAAGGTCGAGTATCTAGTTCGAATTCAGCCAGTGCATGCAGTTGGAGTGGATTGCAATACATTTATACATTGTAGCCTAAGTAATATATCTGGCGTTGTACCCACACCTGTGGCTCAAACCTATTAGAACGAAACGCATCTTGGGGGGTCCTTTGTCTGAAGATGTTGATGTTGTACATGTCCAGTTCCAAATTGGTAGTTTCTGCTCCGTGCTTCTCATTACATCCCTGACACGTCAAGAACGTGGCGGAAACCTACGCAGGATTTCGCCGACTAAGCCGCATCTTCCAGGGTGTTCAAGCCTGAGCCCCGTGAAGCAGGTTCTCTCAATCAATGGGCTCCTGAGGATTGCTTCTGAAATGTATGAGCGTGGTTTCAGCTGGCTCAACCATCTCTTTACGGAACGTGGCAGTCTTCATGCGTGGCCACCGTCGATGGTGAAGTACTTCTTCGTGAGGTCATTCTCCTCACTACTATGCGTTTTCCTTTCCAACACTCTTCGTCATCTCTATCCATTTTCCCTCTGCTTGAGTCTCTCAGTAACTCTCTTTTCAATCTCCTCCTCTTGGCACGTCTTGAGATACTGCTCAAGCTCTTCGTCTGAGTTGAGCCGATCACCAGTCTCTTCGTAAACCTTGATGATGCGATACGCATCATCACGGTCTTTGATGTTTGGTCTTTTGATTGGCGTGCTTCCCTCCCCTTTCTGCTAAGTATTACTTGTACTCTTGGGTGTCCATGTTGAATTCTCGAACATTCCCACATTGCACAAATTTTGTGAGACGGAACTTGCTGGATAGTAAGTGGGAAAGAGAATTTCAGATAAACAGCAGGGATCTTCCTATCAACCCAACTGAAGTCAATCCTTGAGCTTACCTGGGCAAGGCTACAGAAGGCTGCCGGTTGTTGAGGGCAGCCTTTCAATATATATATATATATCTCTCTCTCTCTCTCTCTCTGTCGGAGTCCTGCGCCCCCTAGCATTCGTTATTTGACCAATCTTGCACTTGTAAATTTCGTTTGTTCTCTTTACATGAAAATTCAGAATGCGCTCTGCTACAGTGTCATTCATCACATATACACAATCTTCTTGATCCAAAGGCTTCTTGATTTCCCAAACAGGTGGCGTTTCTCAATACTGCAGCAGAAGCTTCTCCTTGTCATGTCTTTCCTTGTGATGCACCCATTCTTGTTCGAAATCTGTTTACAGTGTTTTCGAAAAGCTGTTTGTACAATTCGTTCAATTTGTCGTCTCAAAATCTCAATCCAATTCTGCCCTGGGAGGAGCAGGTCTTTCAGTGCGCAAGCATGGAACGGCTTGCATGTGGCAGCAAATCACGACCGCAGATCTGGGAGGAGATACACCGCAAGAAGCGGAAAACCTCAGATTTATTTGGGTGGCATGCAACCCGGACTTGGAGACCCGCAGATATGGATCGATCCATAAAGATTTGAGGTGTGGCACACAGTTGCGAGTTCCCCTGATCAAGATCCTCTTCCTAAACTGGCCATTCTGGAAATGGTTTTATATTTCTCCTACAGTATGTTTCCTGCCCCTATAAATGAACCATGAATGGTTCCCCCAAAGGGCTCACATTTTAGATCAACTCCCATTGAATTTTAGAATCGGTGGCACATGGCTGTGAGTGGTGCGCTTGTGAAGTTCAAGGTGTCGCGTTGCAAATATTGGAGGCGCATGGATTTTAATGGAAGGTGGGGCTGGATGCGGGGGCGGGGCGATCAAAGGCTCGCGTGACCAAAAACCTCCCAAGATTTCGAGCTATTTCTATCTTTTTGGCTGTCTGCGCGGCGGCTCGGTGAAGCGTGAAGACCTGGGGCGGAGATCTAAAATCTTTCAGAATCTAGATATCATGCGCGGTCTTAAAATGGTGATAGCTCATATGGCTTCATATTTGATCATCAGATTTCTCGTTATGGTTTAATATTTTCCGCTTATATAGGGTGCGGACCAACTCATAAATCTAAAAATTGATAAATTCAACGAGATATAAAAAATCCAATTAAAAAAATGAATATATTAATATATATATGAATATCTTCTAAAAATATTTAGAGGTCGATGATCTAATTATTCTATTAGAAATATATATTTATAAAAATAGAAAAATAAATTATTAAATCGAAAATATAAGTTAAACAAATATCGCCGGAATAGAAATAAGAGAATTGCGCGCGGCCTAGCTTTTCTGAGTCCTCTCTAAATAAAATGCCTCTTATAGGCTCTCTAGGGATTCTGTTCTTAAATGTCGGAGATTTTAGAACCTTTCAGAGAAGCTAGAAGATTTAAAATTTTCTGCGGCGCTTATTGTATTTGGAAAGATTTTTCGCGTGATTTCTCTTTCGTTTTGGTTGTATATATGCCTTCTTGATGGAATCTATAGACTCGCGATAATCGTATTTGTTATACTGCTTAATATGCAACTTACGAAAGATGAATGAAATAGAAATTCTGGGCTGGAGAACCTATGCCATAGGATCTAAACAAAGATTTTTAGAGATTTCGAAATCTTTTCTTTCTTTTTGATTGGTTATTGATATCCCCCCCCCCTTTCGTTTCCATCCTCTAAATTTTTTTTCTGTATGCGCGGATGGTCGGCGGAACGTATAAAGCCGTGACGGAAATCCTAAATCTATCAGAATTTAGAGGCTGGTCGAATCTATCTACGGATATTTATAGGTTCTTCTGAGCCGATATATAATAGCTTACCTAAGAAAAATAATTGAAGCGGAAAGATTGGGTCGAAGATCTTGATTCGCACGACCAAAATAATTTTCGGAATTTTGAATATTTCTTTCTCTTTGGTTGTTTGCGCAGCAGCTCGGCGAATATATAGACCCAAGATGGAAAGCTAAAATCTTTCAGAATTTATGGGTTAATCCTTTTTGATAAGCGATAAAGATATTCGCAGCTGGCAAGAATATCATTTCTCATACTAAATTCTTATAGGATGACCTGAGGATATTCTCTTACAAGATACGTAATTTTCTCAGATATAGTAAGGAAATAGCGCCCGTAATTCTGTTTCTCCAGGGGCGCAGCACCACGTCACGATTCGGAGTTAAATTCATATATCCGTAGAGGATTATGCGTATGGGAACGCGTAAAATAGATGATAGAAGTAGACCGTAATAGATTCTCTGGGAAAAATTGTCAAAATCTGAAATCGTTCTCCAAATCTTTGGGTGGCCGCCTCTTCAGGAATGCCTCGAGATAGGCACTTGCTTCTTGGAGGAGCAACTTGATAGATATG